TCCACCTGTATTCATTTAGGGATGGAGGCTAAAGAGGCAGCAGCTACCCAGCGGGAAGCTGTTCTCATGGGATGGCGGAAGCCCAAATGGTAACCCGATTCCCAAACACATTCAAGCCTTTGCTGCAGCACATCCATTAGCATCCATTTGGCCAAAACAAGTCACATGGCTAAGCCCAAGGTCAAGGAGCAGAGGATTAGAATCACCCTCCCTGGAGCCAAAGCAGGTTCACATGACCCAGCGTCAATGAGGTGAAGTATGCTCACCCCTGGAGGTGGGGGGCGGGGAGTGAAGACTCTGGGACAATCATCTAATCTATCTCAGCCCCTCCATACTCACAGCCTGTGTCTCTTAATTGGCAGCCACGGATCTACAGAGGAGCTTCACTTTCAGTTGCTCATGACAATGATTGCTTCTCTTTAAGGTACTTCCTTCATGATGCCCCAAAATGAATCTTGCCATTATTTCTTCAATTATGTTTTATGTCAGACCATCCCAAACATAGTCTCCAAATTCTCTGAGTTTATTCCTGTCTGTTTTATAAAACAGACAAAAAAGACTGCTAATTAATTGTGTGCAATGCCCATTCCTGTCATACACCTGCCAATGCATTAAAGACAGGTGACATTGCCAAATCTCTCATAATAGATTCTAGAAGTCCCAAGGCTTGGAAAGGTTCTCGTAACCAATTCATCAGTCAAAAGGAATATCACTCAGGAGCCAACATCCTCCTGTCTAAAACATCTGGCTGCCTTTCAGAAGAAGCTATTGAACTTCAGCTGATAAGTAATTCAATTAAGGAGGAAAAATGAAACTCGTGCTCCCAGGATTCCTCAGGGCAGTTCGGTTCATACCTCAGTTCTGAGAGCTTGGAAGAGATCGGATCGCAACCACCGGGTGGAAAGCAGCAGCGTGGTGTTACCTGCAACCACCAAGTGTGACTCAGAAGTTTTCAACTCAAATTTCGATGGTGGTGACCAGGGGGAAAAAAAATGAAAAATTGGGCTGGCATTGCGTGAATGGGGGTATGCATTTGTCAGCGGTGGTTTTTTTTTTTTAATTCTGCATGTATAGCCGTTGTCTGATGGTGGAATACTGGTATAGGGACCACCATAATGAGAGGTTTTCCTGAAACTAAAGACGAGGCAGGCAGCTCCACAGGCTCTAATAGGATTTATTGTAAGATAAGCTCCTCACAAGGAAGTGGGGTCAGGGTGGACAGAGACCCTGACAGGCTGCACAGCTAATCTCTGCTGCCAGACTGTGTTATAATACATTACTTTTTTTTATAGTAAAGCATAGGTACTAATGATTGACAAGACAAAGGGACAAAGAATTCAGTCCATGCCGGGAACCATACCTCCCGCTCTTCTTGTGATAGAATTCATGCTAACACCAATGTGGTATTTATCTCGGTTGTCATCCCACTCTGGCCATTACTGACAAGCATCTTGACGGCTGCCTTGTGTGAGTTTAAGGAACACAGGTAATCATTAACCAGAAGGCTTTGGTATGCTGAGAGCAGTGAGGTGGGTCAAAGACCACAGCATGAAAAAACTGACTAGAGAAAAAGTCAGGGGACGCAAAGATGGAGTTAGTTTTGTCCACATCTACAGCTGGACAGCCGTGTTGGTTAGTTTCCTGAAAAACCGCTATCTAATCAATGGAACGCCTTAGGCATGGGGCCACCCTTGGGATGGGGAAGTAGAATTTGTATGTCACCTCGAAACTTTTGGGGAAGAAGGCTGAGGGTGGTCGGAGGATGGATAAACAGTAACAGCTTATGAGCTACAAGGCAGTAGGGGAACCATATGAGGGTGGGTGGAATCTGCAAATTCAAGGGCTGAGGTGACACAGGTGGGGACTTAGCAGGAAAGGTTGAGGAGGATTCTGAGAAACAGCCCTGGGATTACGTCATATCCCAGGTGCTTGTTCACTCCCTGCGCCAGGAGATAGGACAGCCCTGCGTTCCTGCCTGCCTCCTGGAGAGCGACCGCTGGGAGGAGGCTGATGGCTGGCAGGCAGGACACCTTCCCTGTTAGGGTTCCTCTACACGTGGATGGCCTGGCAAGCCACACTGGTCCACGCCTGATGTGACTGTGAACGTGACCGAGTAACGTTCTGCTCTCACAGAGTCTGAATTCTAGAGGAAGTAGGGCAGACAACACCCAAAGAAACAAATATATGGCCAAGATTATTCTGGAAGTTCCAGGTGCCGTGTGATGCCATCAGGGTGCCCGGGAGGCTCACTTAGGTTGGGCAGCCAGCAGAGGCCTCTCTGAGGAGGCGATGCGCCAACCAGGAGGAGAGTGGAAGGGGTCGGCAATGTGAAGACGGTGAGAAGTCCTCACCGGCTTAGGTGGAGCTCTGTCAGCCAGGTGACACGGTCCGAGTGTTAGCAGAAGAGAAGTGGGAAGCCTTTGGGGTTTTCACCTGAGGGCGTGACGGTGGGGACCCTGGGCACAGGCACATTTCCCAGCCTCAGGCGGACCCACCCCTCGGTTGGTTCCACTTCGTAGCCCACCTCTCATTTTCTACCTAATGAACTGCTTAGTGTTTACCTTTAAATCAAAAGTCACTTAAAATAAAAACCTTAAGTACATAAGTTAGCCTTAGGGCGCATGGTTCTAGTTATATTTGTTCTAGTTCAGTACACATTAGACTAAACTAAGCAGGCAGCTGGCCTCGTTTCGATGCTTGGCAAGGCCAAGGCCGAGGCCTGACTGACTGATTTGGTCGGTACGGACACAGCCAGCCACGTTCAGGGTCACCCACGGGAGGAGGAGCCACAGGTGCCAGCCCCGGTCCTTGTCCCACTCAGCCAGAGGGCAGCAGCGAGACAAAGGGGCCGTTTCTGCATCAAGGGGACACGATGGAAAGCTCCAACCTCGCCAGACCCCAGGAAGCTGGCGAGCTGCAGGAGCTGCTTCAGAACACACGCCCCAGCGACCCCTCGAGAGGGCAGAGGGAGGGGATATTTGTGCACCAGCCCCCCCATCAGTCACTGAGTGAGGGCCGCTTCCAGCCCTCTGATTGGGGCAGGAAAGCTGGGGTCCAGACCAAGGGTTTCAGTCTTTATACTAATGCTGTGTGACCTTGAGCAGACCACCGACCTCCCTGGACCTCCATACCTGCAGCATGGGGGTCACACACACCGTTCTGCCCCAGGCCACCCCTCACCCCACCTCAGGCCGTCTCAGCCAGGCCTCCAGCACCCCCAAGTCTCCCTACTTCTGAGCCTTGGGGCTCTTCCTGAGGCTGGGGGAGCTCACTCAGCCTTCTCACAGGGAAGCCTGCAAATGTGGGGGAGTCTTCAGGGCAGTCATCAGCTAACAGATGCAGAGGTCAGTGGAGGGCACCCCATTTCTGGCCATCCAGAGGGACAGTTCCCAGCCCCACTGCCCACAGCAGCCCTCCTTGCCTGCTTTCTCTCCCTGCACCCTTTCTCCTGCTTCCTGGGTTCCAACCTGCAATATACCTTTGCTTTCAAGGCAGCCCAGCGGAGCCGCCTTCCTCCCGGGCTTGCCGTGGGATTCAATGAGTTACCAGGACAGCCCGGCTCCAAGCTACAGTATGAGCCAGCGAGTGGAGCTGAGCTTTGCAGAGGAGGGGCAGATGCGGGCTTTCAAACAGCCACTCAGGCAGGTGAAGGGACGTGGCGTTGCAGGAGTCCAGCCACCTTCCACGAAGATGCCATTTGGATGGTCCGGCCCAGGGATGGGGCTCAGATGGGGGCAGCAGCGGGGCTGCAGGAAGATGGTCAGACTCTGGATGCTGTGAAGGACGTTCTCCAGGATTTGGTGATGAATTAGGAAAAGAAGACGAGGGAGAGGGAAATGTCAAGCCTGGCTTCCAGACTTAACAGCTGAGTGGGTGTTGGTGCCAGTCGTGGAGGTGACCAGATCGGGGGACAAACGGCCCCCTTGTCCTGAGCCTGGGGCCTGGCTGCGACCTCCAGGGGAAGGTCCCTGCAGAAGGAGAGAAGGGTCACAGATCCCTCACCTATAAAATCTTAGGGGGCTGTTTTCTCTAGAGCGTCGTCCCACTTTTTAAAAGCAGTTAGAGTGAAGGCAATGCTTTAAAAATTAATAGCAATAATGATCATTTCCTGTAAGTCTGAGAGATGAAATCATTCTAAATGTCTGTGGAGGTGGCTGTAGCCTTCTCGAGAATGGAGCGGTTGAGCTGTAAATTAGTTTTCTCTCCTAACTCATATGTCTACTGAGCCAGGTAATCCCACCTCACAATGACCGGTGACGACAACGGCAGGACACATACGGTGGCTCTTTCTAACAATTATGGAAGCTCAAGTCAAAGATGGCAGTCCTTGTGGGGAGCGTCCACATACATATATATACATATACATGAAGTAGGTTAATAACCCAATATAATCATTACAATGTATATTAATAACCTAATACAAAGCTCCACCCCTATGCCACTTGGCCAGACACTCAAACGCCGGGAAATAGAGCATTGCAGTGTAGGAGATAACAGATAACAGATATCCCATTTTTTCCTGCACTCAGCTCTGGAAGTATTTCACACAGCTTGTGGAGGTGATCTCTTAAGTGTATCCCAGCCTCAATTCCTTTTCCCAACAGTTATCAGTTTGGCTGGTGTTCTGAAGGCATCTGCGCTTTTTTGTCCTTAAGGGACAGGTCCCGGGACTTCGTGACACTCAATAGATACTAACTAGATCCTTGAGATACTTGAGTGAGCCACATGAAATCCTAGGAATGGCCTTGACTCGCTTTATTCGCGTCAGGAAGTCTTAGCGCTTCTCTCCCATGTGAGAGTTTGGTGCCTGCTGCCAGTTATTCACAGGGAGGACTGAAAGGTGCCACCTCAGCAGCTGTGCTTGGCCACGTTGATATTTATGACTTTTCCGTCATCAGCGAGGCAAGATGGGCACGGCTGGATGGCTCACTCTGCGGAGGGCGAAAGGGCGGCGTGTCGGCGACCTCTTGTTCCTGTCGCGGTGTCCTTCCTGGTGCTGAGTTGGTTCCGCGTCAGAACTGATTCTAATGTGGCCTTTTCCAGGCCACATTGCGGCTGCCACAAAACAATGATAGTCATTTCACTTCGTGAAAACACCCATTTCCTGAACTGTGGGCTTTCCGTCGGGAAGGAAGAAAACCCTCCTGTCGCTCACCTTGGGGAGGAGGCTGTTTGACACAGTGACTGGCGGGGCGTGCACCTCCCCACTGCTAGCTGGCTGTGTCGCCTTGGGCTAGCCAGCTCATCTCCATGGGCCTCGGGCTAGCCAACTCTAAATGTGGACAACATAAGTACCTTTTGTTAAATAAATCAATAATGGCAATTAAGAAAACAACAACAACAAATGAAACGTAAGGGTTGCCTAATTTTTGCAAAGTTCTTAGAGGTCTCCCACCCGAGCTCGCTCAGGGCCTGCCAACCCTGGATCCTGGGACTTTCAGTGTCACCAGCGTCATTTGCACCAGTCCTGCCAGGCCACCCACTTCAAAGCAGAGGTTTTCCTGGGGGAAGAGAAATACTAGCTGGCGGGGTCAGACAGGAACTGCCCGTACACACGGCGTGTCCTGGCCACCTGTCACTGTACCGAAGCGTCATTGGACAGAGGATTTGGCCAGTGGCTCTCCTAGTTTTCTCCTTGAGCGTGAGCTTGGCACAAACTTTGTGTTTCGTTAAGAAGCAGTAATTTTGCTTCTTGTGCTGTTGCTACAGGGAGGGCAGCTTTGAAGGAAATTGTTTTTGTCTCATTTCAGCCTTTATTAGTAAAATTACTCACTTTCGCACTGGCAGCTCTTGTTCTGCGCTTGTTCTGAGAAGCTCATTGCTTCACCACAGGAGTCCCTGTGTGAGTTTTAAAAAGTGGAAACTTCCTCAGCTTCAGGCTGCTGCTGGACAACATTTCATAACCGATAATGTCCCAAGACCTGGGGACAAAAATTCACCGCCACAATGAAGTCAATGTTTTACATATTTGAACTTAGTGTATTTTTATTTGTGGTTTTGGGGGTTTTTTGTTTGTTTGTTTTTGGCTGATTGGGATAAACCGTCATATGGGCAGATTCACTTCCCTGGGACCCACACGGCCACTTCCTGCCATTGATTTACGGTCGTGAACTCATTTTGCAACCTCGTCATCATTCTACTGCCTTAACTACCCTTTCATGTTGTAATGAACCACTCTGGGCCACTGATGCATCTCTGTAAATTAAGAATATAACACAGCAAATTGTAACTATAATAAAATGCAAATTAACTCAAGGAAATAATTAGAGGGAATTGATGTGAAAATACAGTACAGAGACAAGCTGCCTCCCTCGCTGAACGCCCCCGTGCTATGGGCGGGGACAGTGCGGTGGCCTGGTGACCTTCGTCCCATCTATGGACAGATGAGCCCCAGGCCCATGAGCAATGTTGGCACATAAGTGAATAAATAAGGAATGCAACACCGTGTCTGGCAGTCACAGCCACCCTGGCATTGCCACCTGAGTACGGTGTCACCATGGTGTCAACTCTTCTAAGGACCTTACAGTTGACCCCCAAGCCTAGGGACTCCGCTGATTTAGAGGGTGCAGACAGAAAAGCAGAATGCGAGGAATAGCCCCAGGACTGATGCCTCATTGTCACAGAAGCTCAGCAGTGTGAGAGCCAAGGCTGCCTTTTGGAGGACACAGCTAGTGTGCCAGGCTGCTGAGTGCGGCACGCTGTCTCAGTTTCTCCTCTGACCCTCTGAAATAGTGGCCGTCATCACCCCATTTTACTGACACGCACATGGCAGTACAGGAAGGCGAAGTGAGTCACTCAGCCACACAAGCTACTCAGTGGCACAGCCACCACTTACAGGCCGGCCCCAGCACCCACGGATCTCCAGCAGGGACGTGATTTCCTTTCCAGGGACAGCAAGCAACCTCTTGACTCTCATTTCTAAAGAGCTGAGCCAAGCAGGCCCTACTTCAGAGCAGGAATTTTGATAGCAGGGCCAGTAGCCAGATAGGGTTCTTTCTACGTCTCTCTGGCAAAAGCCAGCTGCTTGTCCATCGAAGAGCCTCCCTTTCTGAGTCCAAGAGCTGGCAGGTAAGGTGAGGACAGAGGGAGACAGGAGGCCAAGCAAGTGTGTGGAGCCGGGACACAGCAGGTGTTCGAAATGACAGGCTTACTGTGATAAGAGCCATCATGAACACTTTCCTCTCAATAGCTTTTTTAAACTCCTTTATTCTCTGGGCACACATCCATAATTTTATAGAAATGCACAAATGTACTCACATGATAGATTCCAACAGTATATATAGCAGTGAGGCTGGAGTCTAAAATGCCCAAGCGAAATCTAAAGCAGGAAATGGGGGATGATTAGAAATTAGTAGTCGAGTACAGGATTCAATGACATTCATTCATTCATCCGTCCATTCACTCAGTGTGTCTTGGTTGATACAGGAGTGTATTAACGAAGGCCTCTTCTTTCTTTGAACTTATATTCCAATAGGGAAGGCAGGTAATAAACACATACAGTAGACAGGACAGTTTAACACAGCAAGTGTTCCTACGACAGCAGAGGGAGGCGTGCTGGGAAGTGCTGAGACTAAAGCGGGGGCTCTTTAGACGGAACGATCAAGTCTTCCTTGACCTTTGCGATTGAATACGGAGAAGGCTCCACCACATAACTATTTGGGGGACAGTGTTTGAGGTAGCAAGAGCGGCAACTGCAAAGGCCCTGACAGCCCAGGTTTAAATCCCGATGGCCCTCCCGCCCACCTGCCATACCTGGCGGCCACCCGAACACAGGCAAAGAGCTTCACCGCCCCCCGCCGCCCCGCAAGCTACAAGCCCTCGTCTGTGAAGTGAGGATAAGAACCACCTCTCATGACTTACTGTGAGTGCTGCCAAGGTCAGTCAGGTAAAGGGCTCAGCTCAGCACAGTCCTTGGGGCAAAAATGGGACTCCGGCTGTCTCACAAAGGGCCGGGTAGCAGATTGGGGTGAAAGTCTGTCTGTTTTATTAAGAGTTATCTTGATATAGCTCACATGTTTGAGTGGCATGAACACAGATCAGAGAGAATCATTCTTTTCTTCAGCAAATATTACCCCGATGGCATCCCTGCCCCTCTCCCCACACCACACATACATGCACGCGCGCACACACACATACACACACACACACACCCTAAATTTGAGTTCCGGCTCTGCCACAGACACATTGCACAAATGTGGACAAGGCAATGCTCCTTCCAATCTGTTTCCTCATCTAGAAAATGGGAGGTTCCAATGACACTACCCTTAAACCGAACCTCTTAATCATCCAGCCCAGTGACATTATTCAATTTCCACCGAGCACGCTGGTCCCCTGACACCACCATGCCTGGGCCACGATTGTTGCTTGCTAGAAACACTTCCTTCACCTGGCGAACGTCTCATGTCCATGTTAGTTTGCTATTGAGGTATGATTTACATGTGGTAAACGGCACAGCTCTTTACAATTAACTTTAGCAAATAAATATGCCTGATGAAGCAAAACCCAGCTACGATGCAGAATATTTCCATCCCCTCAGCACCGTCCCTCGTGGCCCTTGTCCGTCAACGTCTGGTCGGCCCTAGAGGTCACCACTGACCTCTCTCCCCGGAGGTTGGTTTTGCTGCCCTGGACCCTCAGGTACACAGCCTCTCACACATGCAGTCTATGCCCACATTCTCCTGCTCAGTAAACATTTGGAGCCTCCTGTTGCTTGTCTCCACAGCTCCTCCGTTTTGTGGCTGGTGGTGCATTAGGACAAGACCGCAATCTGTTGGCCATTCACCCATCTCGGTTGTTTTCTATTACGTGTTGGGCATTGTATTTGCTGGGCTGTTGATAGTCTGGATTGTTTCCTTTTCCTTGAAAAGCTGAGGGGGTCTTTCTGGAGCACATTTAGTTTACTGGTGTTTCTCCTGAATTCCCTCAAGTCCTGATCTCAGGCTTTGTCGGGAAAGGTCCAGCGTCATCCTTACCGAGGGCTAAGGGGTTGCCTTTTCGGAGTCTCAGCTGAATGCCCAGGGTATTGGGCAGGGTCGCGCCTTCTGCCTGGTTGGAACGATGTCTGCCAGTGCTGTGACCCCCCGGAGTCCCAAGCAGCTCCCAGCACCCTGACATTTATTCTCTGCTAGGCCGTGTGGAGTCCTGCCCTGCATAGTCCCCTGAGTGTTCACCCAAAGACCCAAGAGACCCCTACCCAGATTTCAGAGATCCTTTTGTAAACACTCTGCCCCTCTTCACTGGCAGAACTGAGACTCTGACCAGATCTGATCAATTCCAAAGACGAGACACGTTCTACAAACCAGCAGCTCAAGGAAACATCTGCCAAACTGTTTGCTGAATCATTTTCTAAATTGCTTCCCTCTCAGAAAAGTAAAAGCTTCTGGAGCAAAACAGACAGCCGTGATCTAAAACACAATAGTCAGACCCCGTCCGCCCTGGTAGCGGGCCATTCCTCGGATATTCTGTGCAATTATTATCCCCCACCCCCACCCCACATGATGATGCCATCAGGCACACCCCGTCCTGGGAGGCGTATGACCCTAACTCACAGCAGGGTGGCAGGGTGTGCTCCCCCAGCTCCCTCTTTGCAGATGAGAGCATTGGTTCTGGAATCAAACAGATCCAGGCCCCCAGCCTGGCCCCGCCTCCTTCTAGCAGAATGACCTTGGGACCCTCTCTGACGGATGTTGACACGGCCCTCCTCCCCCAGAGCCATTGAGATTATGGCTGATAACCATGTCCAGCACCAGTAGGTGCTCAATAATGGAAGCTTAGTCACCACACAGATCCTCCAGCTACAAGAGTTGGCTGCTGTGGCTCCCAGCTGTATCTCTCCCCAGGAATTGACTGGATGAAGGGAGGGAGCCTCCTTGCCCAAGGTCATCGCCTCCCCAGGAGAAGCCTGCTTCCAAAGACTGGTCTAGCCTAGGTGTCAAGGGCTGGCCTCTGGCCTCAATTCAGGCCATCTCTGCAGACCCTCCCATCTCTGGGGCGCCCAAGGTTGGCCGAGGTATTTACTGAAGCTCCGTCTCAGGCCAACCTCTCCCTCCCAGACCCTGTGTCTCCCACTCCTGCTGGAGCTGTCCTTGCAAGCTCTCCCTGGCCAACTTCCTACACACAGGAACCCAACCTAAGAAAGATCCTTCCCTCTGTAAACCTGGAGCCTTCATATCCCCAGTGAGAGGGGGCTGTCCATCAAATCACATGCTGTATCAGGCAGGTTTTGCTGCAATAACAAACAATCCTAGTATCTTGAATGTTTGCAGTAAGAAACATGAGTTTCCGTTCTTGTTCGTGAAAGCTGTGTCTCAGCTGAGATAGACTCCACAAGCCTTCTCATTCCGGAGCCCAGGATGAAGGGGGAGCCGTCATCCGGGACATGCTCTGTCACAGTGGAGGAGGGAGGGAGGGAGAGGAGGGCAGAGCAAACCACTGAAGCACAGTTACGCTTCTGCTCTGGCAGGGCACGTCCCATCGGCCGGCACAGCCCACATGGCCAAACCCTAGGCTAAAGGGAAGGCCTACAGCACAGTGCAGGGCGGGACGGGTGAGGGAGAACGGTGATGCTGACCACACCTACCCGGGCGCCTCTGACTCCACAGGCAGCAAACCTCACCACAAAATCCAAACCAGGAATGTAACGCGACACTATCATCACTATCATCCGCATTCTTATTTTTACCTATCAACTTAGCAAAGATGGAAAAACATAATTTACTGCATTCAGGCTGGAGCTGTAGGTCAGGGTTGTATGCTTCTAGTGGAATATAATTTGGTCCATCTCTCTGAAGGGCAATTTGACACCATTTTATGAAGTGACAGGAAAATGTTCGAATCACTTACCAAGTATTACCCTTTCGGGAATCTATTCAGATGGGGCCCAATGTCTCCCTAGGAGGGGCCGTGGAACCAGGTTATAGAGAGTGGGTAGGAAATCAGATGAGTTCTTTTCATGATCTCCTTTCCCTCAGCCCCGCCTTCGCCGTGGCTCCCTGTGGGCGGCATCAGATTCTCTGGGTCCCTGACTCCAGGCTGGTCCTACACTTCCTGTCACGTGATCACTATCCCCAGCCCTCCTCCATCTCTGCCCAAACGAGACCCTCAGAGCACCTGTGTCTGACAGTGACCTTGAACCCACTCTGAATTTTGGAAAAAATAACACAATCTCCAAAGCATTCATACTTAAACTATCAATAGGTACAGACCACTTGCAAGCCTTCATGTGACACTGGGGGGGCATCATTTTGAGGGGCATTATTTCCTGATACAGAGAAAAAGCAGCGTGTGTGTGTGTGTGTGTGTGTGTGTGTGTGTGTGTGTGTGTGTGTGTGGAGAAAGAGAGGAAGATCCAAATTTGGAAGGAAGGAAGGAGGGAGAGGAATAAAGACTAGAAAAAAGTACAAAACAGCAATCTGTCACCGTTGGGTTCTTTTGCTTGTTTTCGCCTTGCGTATAAATGTCATCATGGAGTGTGTTCTCTTTTCTGTCTGGCACCTTCCACCCCACGTTGTTTGTGAGAGTGCTCGTTGCTGCTGCGTGTGTCTGCTCTCCTTTCATTCCTGTTGCTATGAAGATTCCACTGTGTGAATATCCAAGTTTATTTATTCACCCACTGCCATAGGCATATGGGTGGTTTCCAGTTTGAGATCACGAACCTTCCAGCATGTATCTTTGCATCTTTGGTGACCATCTGTGCACATTGGCACTGCATCTGTACCCGGGCATGGGACTCCTGGGTCATAGGGGGCTTAGGTCCTGCTTAGATATTGCCGAGCAGTTTGCAAAGTGGCTGAGCCAGTGACAATCCTACCAGAGGAAGGTGCCCTGGCAAGAAAGGGAGCACGAGGGAGGCTTTGAGGCGCTGATGTTTTATTTCTGGATCTGGGTGCTGGGTACACAAGTGTGTAGCTGTTGAAAACTCATCCAGCCGTCCATCTAAGAT